TAATAACGATAAATGTGTATGTTCCAGGCAATAATTTAAAATATTTGGTAAACTTATCGTTTTACGCTAAAATACAACAATGTGTGTAAAATTCGTTGTCATTGCTTCGGTTTTGAATATCATATTCGTGCCTGCCGGTGGAAAAAATAGGTAAATTTGCATTTATTTTCAAGAAAACATATCAGTTAAAATATATTCCTTTCCAGAGCGACATACGGACAAGTAAGATGATAAATTTGTATGATGAATATCGCGGAAAAACTTTAGTATCAAAATTTCTATTCTAATTTGCATTTGAATTATGATATCAACAGGGATGCTTTGGGACGTATTTTTTGAAGACACTTTTCTTATAAATCTTAGAATTAAAAAAGGTAGTTTATATTAAAAAATATATTTAAACTAGCAGTATGTAAATTACTTTTATTGCGAATTGAAACGATTTTAATGAATATTCATGGTTACCATTAATAGTAGTATGACAGTTAGATCTAAATGCATATTTGACAAGAAAGATAGAATACAAGATTGCGCCGTCCTAGCGGCGATGGCATATCTGTACAAAAAGTAATAAAAGTCGAATTGGATGTTGAAAGAAAATGTGAGAACAGCAAATTTTCTTAAATAATAAATTTTTCGATAAGGAACGTGTTTTGATTGGGGTGGGCTTTAGTAGTCAGCCGCACCTTGTGTTTTAAGAAAACCAGGTGGAATTAACAAATGAAACTTGGTCAGGACGTTAAGGGAGGTATCCTCTAAAACATGTATTACTAAAAAATATAAATAATATTATTGTTTATAAGTTATTTGTTGTTAAAATTTCTTAAGTCGTTCCACTTGGTTTCCTTAACAAAAAAGCATTTGTGCATACTTTTATATATATAAATGCACGTAACACTGTACTTAATACTTTACACACTTTTCTTTTATTTTATCTTGTATATAAATCACTTTAATTAAACTTTTATCGACTTGTAAATTACATTGAATTTCACACATATGTATTTACAATAACACATGGTTGCAAACTGACACATAACATGTGTTGCCATATTGTACAAAACAATACATACAAAGAAGGCAATGATTAAAAAGGAATACAGGGGAAATCAATACAAAAGAAAATGTTCAGCTCCTTTTCTTCGCAAAACAGAAAGGAGAATTCTATTGCCTGAGGGTTATACAGGGCTGTCATGGAATCCAATTGTTGTCGGAATTGGATTTAAAAACGACAAAAAAATTACTTTGGTGTCATGAAATCCAATGTTATCGGTTTTATGTTCGAATCGGAATTAGTGTCGATTTTAGGTGTCACAGAAACCAATAATATCGATTTTGGTATCGGAAACAAACCAAGCAGCTAACGGCTGTTGGATTTCATTTGTTTATTAGTTTTCCTTACTTCCAGTTGGATATTTTATAAAAATGTGAGTAAAAAAATAGTTATTTTATAAAAATATTTGTTAATGTATTCATATTTTTATTCATCAGTTTTTATGCTTTCCAAAAATGTCTGGCGCTACTAACGTTCCATACGAATGAGTCATGGCTAGAGCCGGGATAGAGTGCATCGACGGCTCGAATTTTTATGTCACCATCACACATCTAAATAAAAATGTACATGCATATATATAAATCAAGGCAATGTACGAATAAAATGAAGATTCATGATTACTTACAATCAGGGCATTCATACTGAATTATTTTCGATTATAAAATAAATGTTCGTCAATACTGGGCTTAATGATTTTTATGTGTGTTATTGAGGGAATTTTGTACTTTAAGTAAAAATAGTCTCTTGATATGCGCTTTTCGATGCAGTCCATTTCTAGTTTCACCCACTGAGGGCAAATGAACCGCTCCATAACCTTAAGCACATCATCTAAAATCGTTGACACCGCGCTTCTAGCTACACTTATGCTAGAATCGTTCCCGACTGATCTTTGACAGGATCCTTCTGCTAAAAATCGCAACGAAGCTGCTAACTGCAGCACTGGTGGAACTTTCGAACGTGTCAAGTGCCCTTCAATGGTGTCAAGTACCTCTTTGTTTAGGCGATAATATGCTATGAAACTGCAAATACGCTATAAATATTTATAAACGCATATTAAAAAACAATCTACTTACGCTGTCTCGGGCAGCTCAAGTGGATCGCCGCAATCTCTCAAAATTTTTCTTTTAACCTTCTCCGAACTTTCTTCTTCCAAGAACAGAAATGCGATAACTGCGGATGTCATTTTCAAAAAAATGTACATTCAAATTGCCGCCATGCACACAAATGAGCAAAACAGCTGATTCGAACATCGGTTTTGTCTATGTTCGAAAAGAGCAAAACCAATCCGGTTTCATGACACCAAATGAAACCAATATTGGTTTGTAATTCCGACAAAAAGCAAAACCGACTTGGATTCCATGACAGCCCTGATAATCCCTAAGTGCGGCCGAAGGTCGCCTACGCAGAAAGGTGTTCTCTGCAAAAGGTGTTCCGCTCCTTTTCTTCGCAAAACAGAAAGGAGAATTCTACTGCCTGAGGGTTATAATCCCTAAGTTCGGCCGAAGGCCGCCTACGCAGAAAGGTGTTCTCTGCAAAAGGTGTTCAGCTCCTTTTCTTCGCGAAACAGAAAGGAGAATTCTACTGCCTGAGGGTTATAATCCCTAAGTGCGGCCGAAGGCCGCCTACGCAGAAAGGTGTTCTCTGCAAAAGGTGTTCAGCTCCTTTTCTTCGCAAAACAGAAAGGAGAATTCTACTGCCTGAGAGTTATAATCCCTATGTGCGGCCGAAGGCCGCCTACGCAGAAAGGTGTTCTCTGCAAAATGTGTTCAGCGCCCCCCTTCTTCGGCAACACAGAAATAATAATTCTACTAAGTAAAAATTCCGAATTAAAAATCCGCTTTTATTATTCAAAATTCCAGTCTGGTAGCACTAAGTTGTATGTTATTTTGCTATCTTATTCATCGTTTATATGAAAACTTTAACAATAAATTATATAATAACTATAGGGTTGCTAGAAAAAAGGGGGGTAGTTTTGAAATCAGGGGGTCCTATTCTACCCCCCCCCATCCCCCCCTTTTCTAGAATTTGCCGTCCGTCTACTAAAATTTTCCCTTTGATTGTGCTAATTTGTAATAGCCTTATTCATAAACAATAAAGTAGCTTAAAAAATGCTTATAAATTGAAAATTGTTTGTAAACGGCAATTTAAAAAGCTTTTTAAAATTTTTATTTTTTATTAATAAGGCAATAAAAATATATGATTTACAATAACTTTTAACAAAGGAAATACGAAATAAGGTGATTTTTGCGGAAGTGGGTATTAGTGAATTTCAGTGCATTTAAAGTTTCTGAGGTTTCGTTTACTTTTAGATCAGAATTGTCAAAATTGAGAAATTCAAAGTAGCGATACAATAATCATAGAAAAGAAGATTGCGCCCTGCTGTGATGATGAGTAAATTTACCACAATGAGGAAGAATATAAGAATTAAGTGAAAAAATTTTATTTTTACAAATTTAGTGAGCAGTAACGCGTTTCAAGAACGATATTTCAGACAAATCGTTAATGAACCACTATTTTTCCTTCCCGTCTGCTTTGGTTTTGGCAAAAAAGTTGATTAGCTCCTGCCGGCGATCAAGTCATTTCAACCATAAAATAATATTATTTGCAAGAACCATTCACTAAAATTGTAACTAACTTTTTATTTTTTATTAATTCCTTTTTGATATTCAGCAATAACAAGATGGAAAAATATTATAAACCAAAATTAGTAATATTTTTATGAATGTAGTTATAAAAGTTCACAGAGAAAACGCCGGAAAACAATGTATTGGCAACAACATAAAATTTATGGCAATTTAGATGTCAACAGAATAATAACTACGATAAAAAAGCATGAGAGAAGTGTGCGAAAAACGGTCAACAAATTTCTTGTAAAATATTTTGATTTTTGCTGGGTGTAAATGAAAACTCAATGAGTATTAAGGAAAAGAAATATTTGAAAATAATAAACAGAAAAAGAGATGGGTGCACAAAAACTTTAGTTAAATGTTTTTCCCAAATTCTTAAAAAGTAAACAAATCGATTTTTTTAATGTTACTTTACATCTGTTTTCTTTTTTATGAATAAGGTCACAAGCATGTACCGTTTTTATAAATAAATCTTATAGCAATATGCTATATATTTATTTATACACTTTTTGGCTGGCGAAATATGTAATTTTTCAACTTAATAGAAAAGCGTATTTAACCACATTACTTTTTGTTGCACGAAACCCTTGAACACTGCCTGTCATCTATTTCTTCTGTTTCGACATTTCGGTATTTTGCATTTCTTTCATTTTGACGTCATTCGCATTGTCAGATTTTTGAAATTCGTTTTGGTTCGACATTCTGCTATTTCATAATTCTTTCATTCTCATGTCATCCATCTTCCATTTTTTACCTTCCATTGCCGTTCGCATCGTCGAACGTGCCTGTCAAACACTGCCGCCATCATGCTTTTCAGTTTGGCAGGCACGTCCGCTGTTAGAAAGAGAATAGACAAAAAGGGGCATAGCATTCCATATTTGTAAGTATATACGATGACCTTAAGTGTCGTATTGTTATTTTGTAAACTTTAAACGGCTAAAACTATATACAGTAAAACCCGCTTAAGTACCTCACGAAAAATGTCAGCTTTTTGAGGTACTTAGGCGGGTTGGGTACTTAAAGGAACCCGCTTAAGTACCTCAATGCGGGTACTTAAGCGAACATAATTACTGATGTAGTTACATCTTCTTGTTAACTTACATAAATACTTGAATAACAACATTTAATGAAGTATACATAGTCTAAAACCAAAATCGTAGCATTATTTAAATACATAAACAAGTAAAGAAAAACTTTATTAAAAAAAATACTTGGTCCAATGGTAAGTCATTTATGTTTAAAAAGTCAAAGTAGGACACATCATTTTGTACCATGATTCAATAATACAAGGTTGTGTAATTTGTGACAGCTAAAATTCGACACTCCTTTATCTAGATTTGTATTTTGGAAGTAGGAGAAAGGGGAAGAATGTGATCGCATTTTGCGAAAACGGTAGTAGAATGGTACTACAAAAAGTACGCAAAGTATACAATTAGAAGTTAAATGTGTATTATTAATTCTATGCGAATTTGCAATATATTTGGTGTTTTAATGGAAATACTAAACAATACATAAAAATATGCATTTTTGATTTAAGTTATTCGTCATTTCCGGGAACAAATCTAGAATGCCGACCGTTCAGCTATGCAAAAACGAAAAATGCGGATCAATAGAACTTTTTATGCTCATTTCAACCATGCCAAAATGATTTGGCGCAAGTAAAAAATGAAGGAGTTCTAGGAGGTTAAAGTTCAGTTTTTAGATATTTTAAATATTAATATCTTATGTACTTTATAACCGATTAAACAGCTAATGACGTCACCATAAAGGTAATTAATTTGTTCTTCAGCTGATGTACATAATTTATAGCTTTTTGTATTTTTAAACCAAAACCACTAAAAACCGAAGAAATATTATTTTTTCATGAAATAATCTTTTTGAAAAAGCTGTATAATTAATGGTAAAGAATTTTATATAATTTAGAAATTACAAGTTATTATCTTTAATTCGATATTACATACTTTATCATGATCTACTTTTGGGTTTCAACAATTTAGTGATAATAAAAAATACAAATAAACCTCTTATTAGGGCTCGTAAAATTATCCGACTATTCGACTAATCGGTTAACCGATTATTCGATTCGTAACCGTTCGCATGCTTATTAGTCGGTTAAAGGTATTCGAATAGTCGCCCGCCTTCGATTATTCGAATAGTTGCTTTGCTTCGACTACTCGAGCATTGTAGCAAATCGAATTTCAGCAACCGAACTTTCATTGAAATTTCCTTGACAAATGAAAAAAAATTTATTTAAATATATACATGCACACATATGAATGTATATTCAGATACAAAAAATGAGCGGACGCAAAAGGAGCTGGGTTTGGGATTTTTTCGAAAAAACAGACGACGAAAAGGAAGTAACATGTTCCATATGTGGTGCAGTTTTGTGCTCCACCTCCTCCACATCCTCACTGAACAACCATTTAACAAAAATCCATAACAAAAATCGCGAAAATGAGAGGTAGGTATTGCTTTAGCCATTGTCTCTAAAATATTTCGCAATAACATTTCAATAATTAGCGCACATTCTTGCAAAAAATGTTTGCCTTAATTTTGCACATGGCATCTTATATATGTACTACGAATGTAACAAGACTTTTCATATATGTATATGTATCTGTAAATGCAAAAAAAAACTCGAACTTAAAATATTCGATTAACCGAAAATGAACGGTTAACCGAATAATCTAAAGTGAACGGTTATCCGAATAGTCGACAGCTTTCGACTACTCGAATATTGCTAACCGATTAACAGTAGTCGACTTCAGTCAGATTCGAATAATTCGGTTAATCGATTAACCGATTTGCCCGAGCTCTACCTCTTATATCTTCTTTTTTTTACCAGTGACAAATAAATTTGGTATCGTTGAAATCAGCGTAAAAAGTTCTATCAATCGGCATTTTTGGTTATTTTATAGCTAAACGGTCGCTATTCTACACTTGTTCTAGAAAATTACGCAAACGAAGGTGACGCCAATGAATATTTAGTATGAAGAATTTTTGGTTTTACTACTAATATCACTAGAAACTATAGAGTAAGCAACATTATGCACAAGTAAAGGAGCCGATTTTATGTGTGGGAGCGAGAAGACTATTTTATTAAAAAACCTTTCTATTATTGAATCATGATTTTGAACCAAATTCGAAATGATGTTGTTTGCCACTTATGTTCATTTATTAATTTTTAAGATTTTTCAATCAATTAAAATACAGTTCATTTCCTAACAAATATCATATAAACCTATGATTAAGATTTTGTAGAACACTAAAAAAAAATCATCATAATTTCAAACTTTTTTCTCAGAAGAGTTTTTTGAGTATACAGTTTTATAGCCCATTCAATTTTAATGTAACAACGTGCAAGTTTCAAGTGGCCAAAAGTTACCGTTGATTTTTTAGAATTTACTTACCGAAGGTGTGTAGCGCTGCTACTGAATTTCAAAATACGTAAATATTTTAAGGAATTTTAAAAGAGCACTCAAAAGGGGAAAATTATAAGTAAAATTGTAAATGGGGCACGAAAAATTGAGGTACTTAGGCGGGTTGGGTAATTAAGGGGGGAGGTACTTATGAGAGGGATTTTCTTTAGATTATATTAAAAAAATTCACGGTGTTCAAAAATGTTGGTTACTTAAGCTGGTTAGGTACTTACGCGGGGGGGGGGGGGGGGGGGGGAATAGTTGGTTGTGCTTTCAAGTCTTTAGACATTTATTTAACCACTCAAAATTTACGACA